GAGAGAGAGAGAGAGAGAGAGAGAACGCGCGATTACATAGCGAGATTCGAGCGCGAGTTCGATCCGCTACTGGAGTCGAGAGAGCTCGATAGGCTTACAATTAGCCTTAGGATATCGAAAATATTGCGCGCGCGTGTAGAATTACTTATTATACTGTACGATTAACACGATCCAGGTAGCGATACTGCATTCAGCTTGAAGAGACACGCCACTGTCAGAAGGTCGCATGTATTCGGCTGAATTTATCATAAAATGCAATCGAATTGATCGTCAAACGTATTACTGGAGAATGCGAAATGGTGACGAGATATTCAGTTGTGCATCATTCGCGTGCATTATTACGTGCATTTCTACATCTTAATTCCTTGCACGGTAATAGGGAATAGGCGAATAACAAAGAAAGATGGATTCTATTGCGAAAGATACGCATGGTATTTGCATTTTTTATTCCTCTGGCAATTTCATGTTACTTACTCTCTTCGGCTTGGCGTTAGATATAATGTATATCCTAAATAAAATTAGATAACCTGATAAGCTTCCCGAAATGTAACGAACAAGAATTGTTGTTATATGCATAACTACGATGTTGGACAAATATCGCGCAAAGTACTGAAAATGCTGCTTTAAGTTCTCTTCGACTTTTAATCTTGTTACACAGCGAATACATTTTTAAGTGATAAAACAATCAAATGCGCGTATTGACAAAACATTCTTTTCCATACAACTCCCTCGCAATGTATTTAGGCGATTAGTATGACAATAAACAACTTAAATGTAAATACTTGGTGAATGAGTGCCGCTTCCGGACTATCTTGGAAACTGTTTCCTACCTATGACAAGGCGATGAATAAATGAGGGCAACGGTCACTATGCGCGCATATAACAACTACCGATATGCATATATATTCGCTTTTCCTGCTATTCACTCTTTATCTGACTATGAGATATGTCCGTCACGCGAGCATAAGTAAAATATAAAATAAAAAAAAAAGAACAGAGCGGTTTGCGCGAGAGAGCTTTATCGAAAACTGTTATCATTTCCCATCTGCTAGAGCAGTCGGAAAAAATTATAATATATAGTATAATAAACTAATCCATCCCATAAGATCAAAGACATCGTCAATGCGAACATAATATAGCGTCAAAATTGACGCTATGTCGCAACATTAGTATTACACAATATAACGACAATTATGCATTGTCAATTTACGATATTTGTAAATTAGTAATCACGAAGTGTCCCGCGGCAAGTTGTCAATGAGTTGCAGAAGCCGTGTGAAAAATTCACGCGAGACTCGTCGAGTCTCTACTCGTTTTCACGCGTCGCCCCTCGCACCGCGCCGCGCCTCAACGCGCTTCACCGCGTCTAACCCCGCCACTCGAGTCGCCTACTTTTGCGCCATGCGTGGAAATCATGGTTTCATTCATGCCGGATCGACTTCGTGGCGTATATAGCGCGCGCGTGCAGCTGATGCGTGTGTGCGACTCGTGAAAACGTGTCGATATCTACCTTTTCGGTTGCCGAACACAATCGATATGTATCGTTGCGCACTCGTACGTAAAAGGACACGCGTGTATGTATGTATGTATGTACATGTACGCACGCACGGCCTCGCGGACGCGTGTGCGAAAGTCGCACGGCGACTCCGAGTGACATTCACGGCGTGTGGTGCCAATGAGAGCGGGCAAGCGACGTATATTCGAGCCTCTGTGTCAATAAGCCGTGCACACGCACACGGATACCCGAAGTATAACGGGTGTCTCGCGGATACGGCTCGCGCTGAGAAACTTGTTGATGCGAAAGATTCTCATTGTCAGTAGCACGCGACGCGTTCTCGGCGCGATACGAGCAAGATGATTTTTAATTCTAAAAATATAACGTTGTACACGCGGCAGAAATAATTAAGATACTTAACCAGCGTTCGTAGAAAATCAAAGCGTCCGAAGTTAAGAGACCTCATCAGCGGCAAGTATAAGCCACTTTTCGAAATTCAATAAGAGCTCTATCACTTGGATTTCAGAATATACAAGCATGGCAATAACGTTCGTAATGACGAAAGAGAGAGGACGTAAGTGCGGATGCGGGCGTGAGCCTGCGTGTGTGCGACGCGACGGTGTGAGTTTTACGAACGGAAAGGCGACGCCGACGGCGCGGCGCGGCGCGGCGCGGCGACTTTCTCGCAAACTTTCTACACCTGTGGGTTTCATTCACCGCTTCGCCCCTGTGACTGGTTCGGTCTCTATGAAAGCGTAGTGTGACTCAATGCGCGCAACGAGTCACGCTCGTCTAACCGTCGATGGAGTTGGCACCAAGTCGCGCGACCTCGTCCAAGAGAGAGAGAGAGAGAGAGAGAGAGAGTGATAGCGAGGCGGAGAAGGAGATGGGCAGATTTATCGTGGTCCGCGAGAAAATCCTCCGAGAGAACAAATGTGCAATGAAAATACATCAAAGTGTGAGCAGCTAAAAATATTGAGGAAAATAGAACCGAGAAAGAGAAGGAAACGCGCGGAGAATCCAAAAAGATCTCTAATTCATTTTCGCTTAACCAAAATTCCAAGAAAGATGTAAATATATTGGAAGTATTAATCGTTTAGGAAAGCGGACGAACGTATTATGGAAAGTGTACGACGACGCGTACGTGGCGAACGATCTAACGTACTCGTAATTTTAAACGATGCGAAGAGAGATACGATAGAGGAACGGAAGGATAAAGCGAGCGCAATTGCAAGATGAGGAAGAGAGAGAGAGAGAGAAAGAGAGAGAGAGAGAAAAAGAAAACTCGATTTCTCGAACGATTTCCGCCGGCGAACGACGTAGATATTTTTCGGGGTTTTATCGCTCCCGGCCGTTTCCGCCGAGTATCGCGCGCGGCCGACGATGATTAGCGCCAGCTTGGAAACAACAAGGCGGAATTTCGTAAACGTGCACGCGGCTGCACAGCACGCGGTTTCCAGATTTACCCGGCATTCTCTCTCTCTCTCTCTCGCTCTCTCTCCCAGTCTCTTGCCGTCGCCAGTCTCTCTGCTTCCAGATGTTCCATCTGCGTTTTGCCAAGAGAACCAAACGCGCCGTGTAAATAATATGTACGTAGTATTACGAGCGTAATGGATGCGTCTTCTAACCTATAGGCTCTTGGACGACGCGACAACGTGTGACGTTCGCTCGATGAAAATCCGAGCGGATATGTCGCCCGTCGTAGATTTCGCGTTTTGGAACTTTATTAGAAGAGATACTTGGGCATTTAAACTCGAGCATAAATTTTCGTTGAAACTTAATCCAACATCAATCGAGAAACGTATTCTAAAATTTCTCTTAAAATTTCATTGCTCAATGAGATAGAATATAGAATACGCCACGTAACGTTATTAAGTTTAAGGCACGTAACAGCTGACACTCGAAACTCCAATAACTCTTTTGTTTAACTCGTATAGCCAAAGCGTTCAAGAGGACATCATCTCCTAGACTCAGGTATACTCTTATTAATGATGCTAGCGCGCTGTGAATCGTCAGTTATGCGCTCATTATGAAACGTACCTCTCCTTTCGTCGACCACGGAGCATGGGCAAATAAACAGAAACGCGGCGGAGCGACGCGCGACGGTGCGGGTACGGGATACGGGTACGGACGGAATAAAAAGAGGAGTGTCGGGAGCCAGTTGGTCCGGGTCATTTGCCCGACAGCCGTCCATCCCGGACGTCGTTTTTCCGACGAAATCGTACGCTGCTTGATAAACCCTGGTCGACCATCGTCGCCGGAGGGCATTATATTTGGTGGAATGTTAATATCATCCATTTCGTTCGCCACGTTGCGTTGCCTGCCAACAACGCCAACGCCACGGCCAACGCCGCGCCGCGCCGCGCCGCGCCGTAATGGCAGCATTACCGATATTACCGTATTTCTGCCGGTATCGGTAGCGTGATACTACGAGTGGTATTACGTATTGTCGAACGTGTGACGTTGATCGTGTGACGGTTAGCGTGCTACGTTAGACAGATAGACAAGGGTGAAAAGAAGGAGTGGCTTGTCGCGTTTCGCGACGAATGGCCACTATAGTGGCCACCCGCGAGACTGATCCCGTGTAATAATCTCTCTAGGCCTGGTCGTTTTTGCTCGACTTGTTGCACGGTTTATCTTTCCTCTTTTTCTTTTCATATTGGAGAGAAAAGGAGAAAAGGGAAAAAGGAGAAAGATCCAAAAAAATATTTATTTAGATTGTTGCCAAGAGCTTATTTACTTAATATATAATACACATATTTATTTAGAATTAAATATTTTTATTTAAATTAAGTAAAAATATCTACGTTTAAATAAATATGTGCATTCTATATTAAGTAAATAAGCTCTTGGCAACAGTCTAAATAAATTTTAATAAATAGTTTTTTTCATCTAAATATTATTTTCTTAGTGTAGGTGCTCGACGAGGGTGATATATTGCCTGATAAATAAAAAGCAGACTCTGTGCTCTGTGCGCCAACTCATCGCGAATCCGTCGCATAACGAACACTCGCGGCCCGTTTTTCCATACAACGGTAATGTAGCAGTGGCCAGCTCCGCCGCAGCCGTCGCGAAAGGGTTAAAAGAGTTCTGAAAACTTGTACGTCTTTCGAACCACACGGGTAACCGTTAAGATGCGAAGTACCTCGAGAACACGAGTGATTCATTTAATTATCGTGCACGATATGCTCGAAGCACCGTAAGAAAACCGAGGAAATGAGGGAGGGACGTAGGAAAACGCGTAGGACGTTTCGCGCACTCACCGGCGCGACGGCGACGGCGACGGCGACGGCACACGCGGAGCGTCGCGCGTCGTAGGAGCGCCCGGTTATCCTTAATCGCGCATACGTATAGTTGTACGCGGTCGAGAAGTCCCACCAGCGCGCGTGGCTATCCCGGAGCACTTTGGGGACTCGCGTTTTATTCTTCCGTCAGTTCCGTCATCGGGGCGCGAAACCGGGGAAGGAAGGTCGTCTAACAGATGAAAGAACGTAAGTACACTCACCGGTACGACTTGGGGGCCGTGGGGGCGCAGGATACTGGGGCGGCGTCAAGAGCGGCGGCTGCGGCTGCGGCTGCGGCTGCGGCGACACTTGAACAACGGCCGAGGGGTTTGTGCAGCCCTGGGACGTGGACAACAACGTGGTTGGCACAATCGTGGCCGCTGTCTTGGTCGGCGGCGCCGTCGTCGTCGTAGTCGCCGTCGCTGCCGTATTATCCGTCCTCGCGGTCGACGCCGGACGTTGCGGCGCGTCCTCGCACCTCGTCCTCAAGACGACGGCGTTACACGCTCGGAGCGGCCGCCGCGGGGGCAGCGCCGGGGGCGGGGTGTTGTCCGAGGTATCCACACTTTCGGCACTTTTCGTTTCACTTGTACTCCTCTCTCACGCCCGGAGCATACGTTACGTCGCGTCCTGGGCACACGACGCGCACTCTTGGAGAGAAAGAGAGAGAGAGAAAGAGAGTGTACACGTTACGTATATATCACGTGTATTTATATATTTATTAATTAAGCCTATACGCGACCGCAACGAGGAGAACCACAAAGCGAAATGTAGTTTCCACTTCGCGCCACTTCCGATGTATCCGAGAGAGAGACTGAACGTCGGTTCGTGAACTCGACGTCCACTCCTCTTCCTGCTACTCCTTCTCCTTCTCCTTCTCCTCTTCCTACTACTACTACTACTACTATACTGTCGTCGCCGTTGCTGCCGCTGCCGCTGCTTCTTCTTCTTCTTCTTCTGTTACTCCTCCTCCTCTTCCTCCTCCTCTCCGCTCGCACTTCCGGCACAGGTCACAACGTCACAGCACGCAAGCACATACATATCTCCTAAGGCGAGATCCGAGAGTGCGGAAGCGACATTAGAGGCAAGTTGGAACGTTCGCGCGCGCGCGCGCGCGCACGCGGGGACAAACGAGCCAACGAACGAACAAACTTGGACTTTTCTCGACTCGATCGAGAGCGAGCGACGTTGCTTCACATCGAGAGTTGAATAGACCGGCCGCGACGAATGTAGCAGGACGGAAAACAGAAGAGATATAATAGAGTGAGAGAAGAGAGAAAGAGAGAGAAGAAGAGAGATAGAAAGAAAGAGAAAGAGAGAGAGAGAGAGAGAGACACGCGCGCGGTGACACGACACAGCGAGGAGGAGAGATCGGTACACCGCGGGGTCTTCTCGCGCACTGGCTAGCCAACACACACACACGAGACAGGCCACAGGCCCTCTTTCGGTGCCCCGACACGACGCGCTCTCGCCCGCCTTGCTTGCCTGCTTGCCTGCCTGCCTGTCTGCCTGCCTGCCTCCTTCGTCTCTGTTCTCTCTTTCCCTCCCTCCCTGTCTCTTTCTCCCTTTCTCCCTGTCTCCCTCTTTTCTCTATATATCTCTCTCTCTTTTTCTCGAGGAGCACGTATGCGCTCGCTTGCCGGAGCAAACGAGACGGAAGAAGAGAGACGGAATCTTACGAGAGACCGCACAACTACTACACGACACGCGAAAGAGAAAGACGCGATGGGAAAGAGAGAGTGGGAGAGAGAGGGAGAGGGGGGGAGAGAGAGAGAGAGATGGAGGGAGGGAGGGAGGGAGAGAGAGATAGATCCGCAGAGCTTAGTAGGGAGGCCCAGAGAGAGAAAGAAAGAAAATGAGGAGAAAAAGAGAGGCGACTCTGAATCTCGCGTAGGCCGTCTGCCAGTAAACAGGCTCCTTCATTCACTGCTTATTTTATACGGGCGGCCCCCTATATGCTTCACAGAAATAGCCACCCTCGTTCCGTCCTTGTCGCACGCGTGCACGCACCGCGCACGCACGTTTGTACGTACGGGCCGGATACGTTCTCTCGCGCCGCGTTTTGTCCCTCCTTTTTCTCTCTCTCTCTCTCTTCCTCCCGCGTTTCTGGCTCTCCTTTCTCTCGCGCTCCCGCATTCGTGTCATGCGGCTCGCATCTCGAATAACCGCGTTGGTCTCGGTGAAAAAGCGCGGTGCGGGAGTCGGTGGCCGCCGCACTCCTCTTCGCGCATAATTCTACCCTCCGCGCGGCCTTTTCTCTTTACCGATGTTCTTACTTCTCTCCTCGTCCTTCCGCGCCTTTCTCGGTCTCGTGTCTCGTCTTTCGTTTTTCCGACGAAGCGCGGTTGGCTGCGCGGGCGGATGGCTGCCTGGCGTTACGTTGTGGCGCGGTGCGGGCTGTGGGGTGCGGCACGGCGACGACAGGTGCGCGACGAATAATGCCGACGGTGACGTCTTCCTCGCGACGGTGTCGCAATGGGATTTCAACCGATTCGTTGATAGCTTTAAACTTGCGACGTCTCACTCGCGACGTGTGTTTTCATTGTCGTCGGACAAAAATAAGAAATCGCTATTCTCCCTCTCGAAAAAAATTTATCTCTGTCGCGTCGTCGCGCTACGTTCTACGTTCTACGTGTGGCAGCGTTCGCCAAATGCGTTTTCGCGTCCGTCGCATCGTCGTACGTTGCACGGCATCTTTGGTGACGAGTGACGACAGTTTTTCGGCCAAGATATGGGAAGGGAAGAAGGGGAGACTCGCGACTCGCGACAGATAAACCAGAACCAGACCGAGCTTACGAAAGTTACGAACGTAGGCGACGTAGGCGTAGGGGTTTGCGGTTTGCGCCTCCGCTGCTGGTTCTCTCGAATGGCGAGCCAGGCGAGGAGGCGAGCCTCCGGCCTCCGGCCGGACTAATGCTAAATGCACATGCACACCCGTGAGGCAGGCGCGTTCGCTCGCGTTCTCGCCACGCTCGCCGGGGCCGGGATACCGGGTGTATGCGCTCCCGTGCGATGGTGTGCGCGTTCGTTCGCGTCGCTTTTCCTCTCTCTCTCTTTCTCTCCTTCCCTCCGGCGTCGCCGAGACGAGAACGGGATTACGAGCGAGCCAAGTGGAAGGAAGTAAAAAGAGACGGAGCGGAGTGGATAGACCGTCAGGGGAGCTGGCCGAAGGGCGAGCGGCGGGCGGCGGGAGGACGCATGCGGCATGAACGACGGAGCGGAGAGCGGAGCGCGCGTCTGCTTCTTCGTTTGTCCTTTCGTTTATTCGTTCGTTCGCTCGCTTGCTCGGCTGATCGTGTACGATGGAGTAAACGAGACTGTGTTACGTTTGTTCGATGCGCGGGAGTGAGACAACCGCAGTCCGCACAAGTTCAGCTGGCCTCGGCGGCCATGCCGGTGTAGATCGCGAGCCAGGCGCGTACCATCGCGCCACCGGGCCGGGCCGGGCCGGACCGTTGCTTCCACGCTTCTTCGTCAAGAAATTTTCTCTTGAGCTTCTGGAAAAGTTGCCAGGTTATTCTCTCGATCCTTCTTGTTTTCTATTTCCAATCCTCTGGTCCCTTGTCGCGCGTCGTTGGCCGTTGCCGCGGCGTTTCCTACGTGCGTCGCACCCCCGTCGACGATACGTCGCGCTCGGGCATCGGGAAACAAAGAGAGTCGGCACGTTTTTCCTCTTTTCCTCGCGCTCGGCTCGGCTTGGCAGCTGCCCTCGGATACGGCTACGGCCCCGTCCGTGTCGTATGCCGTGTGCGCGCACGATCCAACAACACCGTCAACACCGATCGTCGTCGCCACGGAGAGGAGGCACCCGCGCGCGTGCAACGTGCGTTCCTGGATGCCGTCCTATGCGCTGCCGCGAATGCCGCGATAATGCTCGAGCATCCACAAAATACGCGTCTCACGAAATTAACTTCTCCAGCAGGCTCTAGCTTCTCGCCACTGTTTCTCTCTTACTCCACTGCTAGGGCGATCGCGTCCCTGACTTTCTGGAACGACCGGCTGATGCTCGGCGCTGCTGCGCCGTTGATAGACTCTGTTCGCGTATGTACAAACAGCTGAAACAGCGCGAGCGGCATTTCATCTCCTTCTCCCGTTCGCCGTTCAGCCGCTGCCTCTCTCTTTCTCTCTCTCTCCCTCTGTCTATCTCCGTGGGTGGAATACGCATGCGCGCTCCAACACTGAAAGGCGGGTATGTGTGAGCGCGAGCGATATTTACGCGCCGCGCTCCGCGCTTGCATCCGCGCGCGCGTGCTATACAACTACCACATGCACGCAGTCGCACCTCGCGCCTTGCACCCACCCGCGCGTCTCGCATAGCCACCAAGCCACCAAGCTGCCGAGGCACCGTGACGCCTGCGACCAGGTCGACCCTTCTCTGTCCTCTCCCGTCCCGCGCTCGCGTACACCGTACAAACATCGAGTTCTGGCAGACGCGATACTTCATTCATGCTCGTGTTGTGCGTTGTGAGGCCAGGGCTGACGCGCGATGCCGCGGTGCCGCGGTGCCGCGGTGCCTCCTCCGCGTGACAAGTATGGAAGCGAAATCAAGTTTATCAAGTCCATCTCTCGAGGGCGACCGACCTGATTTCGAATCGAATTTCGCCCTACCGCCACGATTTACGAGTTTTTACATCTTACGCCCCATATATGTATTTACACTTTACGCTTATGTACCCATGGAGTTAAACGGTATACATTACGTTTTTTTATAACGTCATGTTTCGCGCTACATCTTATGTTTCTTCCTGTTTATCTACCTGAAGTAAAATCCGCCGCGTGTTTATATCACGCCTTATACTTTTAACACACGTTACATAATTCTTGCTCTTTTTGAGATTAAGAAACGCATTTGCGAGTAGTTGGATTTTTTTCGGGGTAAAAGATGACTCAGTCGCGAATCGTATTCGCCTAATTTATATCCTTTAAAAGTTGCGTTGGAAGCCGCAACATTGAGTGTGAGGATGGGTAGCGTTCGGGAGGACGTCGGTAGTAGTGATAACAGGAATACTCATTCAGGTGATCGAACGTCGTACCACCGATCTCGCGGCACGTATATAGTATCGGTATCGGTATCAGTATCAGGCACGCGGGCTCCTGCTCTTCCACATTTCAGGTCGACTCGGGACTCGGCTCTCTTCGTAAACGTCCGCCGACTACCATCCTCTTTCATCCTCGTTGCTCGCTCCCGACTCCCTCGACCTCTTCTTCCCCCTTTCCCTTTCCTGTCAATCCCCCTTGCCCCCCACCGCCGCCGCCGCCGTCACGCAACTCGTTCACTCCATTTGCTCGCGGGTATGTCGTACGGACTTACGGAGGTGCCGTGTGTGTATCAAATATATGTTTGTGGGTACGTTGCTCCTCCTATATACTCGGTACTCGCTTGCGCCTGTTCTAAAGCGGACGCGAGCGCAGCGCGAGATGAGAGAGTAAAAAGCGATATTCTTCCTGATCCTTCCTACGGACGAAACGGCACGATTTCGGTCCAGAATCGTCGGACGCGCGTTTGACGCGATTTTATTTAGCCTATTTCCCCGGGTATTACTTTACACGCGTTCCCGCGTTTTACGTTGCAAATCTCTTCGTTTAGCAATATCACCAATGTACTCGCGGGAATTTATATTCTTACTATTCTTAGGCGCGTCCGACTCGCTTAGAATAATTCGGTATACTTATCACGGGATGGTATCCCATCACGCGAGATTATGAAAATAGTTTCCCACTAAATTGGAAACTAACGACCTGACCCGGCCATTGGTTTCACTTTGCGCAAGGCAGTGATCTCGCCGCGCTTCGACGGATTTATCGAAAAAGATGTTAGAGTTAGGATATAGGTATATCGTTGCATGTCCGCGAAACATTAACGTTAAGTTAACATACACCGTATCGCAGCGAATCATGACTCGTGTCGGATGAATTAACACTTGGACGGTTAGACATTATCATTATGCATACATTTGAATTTGGATTTTCACATAAAATACATACGTGACACGAGTACTGCCGCAAACACGTGAAATGCTCCGTGAAATTCACAGATCGACTCCACTTCCAATCAGCTTTTTATATTTATATACAACACAAAAGCATTTAAAAAAATTATATATTAATGTCAGTTTGTTGATGATGTCGAATACTTGAATATCGTAGTTTCGCAACCAAAAACGAGGCGCGTTCAGCGCGTTCTTCTGTTATTGGGAGAAAAAAAGAAAGAAAGAAAGAAAGAAAATTTAACGACTTTTCTTCGCGGAGAGTAATAAAACGCTTGCTTGATGAGCTCCTTGGGTTATCTAATAAGGCAGGACGCGCGAGAACGCCGCGCCGCGCCGTCGCGGTCGTATTATATGTATAATACATATATGTACGTGTACGCAAGTACCCAAGGTCCTCAACGGGTGTTTCGTTACCCTATGGTCTTTGCGAATGTGACACCAAGGCGCGCACCTGTCTGAAAGTGGTCGCGAGGAGTGCAGAGATCATTATTAGGCAGCTTTTGCGATATTATGTTTCGGATACGATAACCGTTAATAATCTCTCATTGTCAGTACATACTCATCTACATACAACACGTCACGTTATATTTTTATAAATATATTTTTTTACATATATTTAGAAAGTAATATATCCTCTCAGTAATATATCCATTTATAGTTTTATATCGTATTACTCTCAGGTGGACACGTAATTAATGGATAGTTAATTCTATCAATTCTATGCGCGACTTGGATGTTTATCGCATGGAAATCTGGTCTATCGCAAAAAGCGGCTCTTGGGATTCGTTTCATCGTCATCGTCGGGTCGGGACGCTTCGGGTGCACTTGGTCGTGTTCCGGACGCAACCGGAGGCGGAATATGTATGACATACCTTATTCTGAGAAGCGGCTTCCTCGTCCGCGTCGCCGCGATGCTCATCAGCTGACGGCTGACGGTTGATTCGTGTTTCACGCAACAGTTACGGGGAACAACAGTGTGTTAATCACGAGCGTGTAACTCACTTGAGTCCGTCACCCGATTCTTCTTTGAAATTTGTACAAAGTCGTCGCGGACAAATATGAAAAATGCAGAGAAACATAAGGCGACCGATGATCGACCGGTTTACATTATTGTGTCGATAAGGAGCGGATCTATCGATTATAATTACATGACGATAACCAGGAACATCTGCAACTGATTCGGGGGGCTGAATAAATCGTCAACTTTTGATAATATTTCCATCCGTTAATCGTACTCGATAATATTATATGTATATTGTACACACAATTGGGGTTACGTATTACGTCTCTTTTAATAAAATAACATATCCCGTCGATACATTTATTATATGAAATTATCTTCGACAGTCATTGAATTGGCGATGTGAGTATGAGTATCGAGATGCCAGCGAAGAAAAAGAAAAAGACATTTCGCCTAACGCAACGCTCAACGTCGGCGACGCGCGATACGTTGAGTGCATCCAGGAGTACGATCGCTCACTGAATCACTAACAATAAGTAACGATAGAATGTGATTGGTTCTTACCTTTGGATCTAACCATTAACCAATCACACTTAATTACTACTTAGCCGCTTAGTGAGCGGTCGTGCTCCTGATAGTCTCCTGGAATCTGGAATCTCCTGGATGCACCTGTTGTCGTCCTGCATTGCTTTCGTTCACAGCGAGACAAGTATCTCGCGTTGGCTGAACGATTTCAATCCAATCGTCTCAGCCCCGGCCGTTTATACTGTTAGTAATACGAGCGGCGACGTTTATATCTACACGCCACACGGGCGTGGCAGCAATGCGAATCGCGTGCACCGCTTCCTTCGAGAGGATATCCGGTGTGGATATCCTCATCGTATCCTAGAGTATCTGGAAGAGCTTCTTCAATTCCACCATGAGTTGCCAATCAGTCTTTAGCAGGTCATCTCTAAAGTAATCCTTGCATGCGTCTATACTCTGCCTGCTTATCTGTAACAGTTCGAGATATGGAGCTTCCGTTATCGGATGATAAAACGTGTGGTCACTACAGATTTCCCGTCCGTAAATAAAATAATAAAAGAAATCCTCCTTTTTCATATATATTAATCTCCAACCAACAAAAAAAATCTATTCTAATTCTCTATTCTAATTTTGTTATAATTTTATTTCTTGAATTTTACAAATTTCAATAAGCGGATTTCTAAACAGCGGTTGTTTGTTTCTAGTAGTGTTTAATAGTAGTAGGAGGATCAGAGTTGTGTAAATTATACGAGATGAAAGAAGAAGGATAAGAGAGGAATAATGTCATGTTTGTAATATCTTAAAGTTAAATCGAGCCCAAAGACCGATCGAGAACTTTGGTAACACGAATATAATCAGCGAATCGGATGATCAGATCGGATAATCGGAGCGTGTGGACTCAAAAGTAGACTGTGACACCATTCATCCGCGAACGTCGAGGCTTTAGGGGAAAAATGTAGCGTCATATGTGTTACACGTTCGAATGACGCAACTTGTAACGGAAACATGGGCGTCATTCGTATGACGTGGCAAGCTGGAACGATCTGTTAAAAGCGAAATCTTATAATAAAATAACGGACAGCTCCGTAATGTGACCGTTTTGCGAGCTGCACGCGTTTCTCAACGCGTGTGCATTTTCGCGTGATACGTGGAATCGTGACTAATTTTCACGTGGCGCTTTTCGCAAATAGAGAAATACAGGGCCCGTGTTGTGTATGTGTGTGCGCGCGCGCGGGCACGTTGAACCATTCGGAAACGTAACACTTCACAACTGTTTCCGCCCCCACTCTTGGCCGGAAGTCCCGTTTCATTCATGGATCGGTCACAATGGTGGTTTTACGCGGCTATTGAGGACGCCTGCCTCCCGCCACGCCCCTTCTAGCTTTCCTTGCTCCTCACCGCTTCTCGTCCTCTCTCTCTCTCTCTCTCTCACACACACACACACACGTTTTCGCCCCCCACGTGTTTCCCTCCCTTCCTCCTACGTCTGTATTACCGCTCGTAAAGTACGCGGAACGTTGAATATACAACAGTTCGCGGTAATCATAAAAAATTTCACCGACGGCGCAAAGCGCAGAACGAATTTGAAAGTTTAAGCTTTTCGCGCGAAGCTCACGATCACGATTACGCGTCTCAGATATTATTATGCAATTTCGGCCTGCGTGACGAATATATACAATAGAATCGTGCAAACATGCTCTATCGATCGATCGTTCCGCGATACCATCCTCTTCGGAGAAATTTACCGATCTTTATGCTTGCAATATTCGGCCGCGATTTTCCGTGATTCACTTTTCTCTTTCCGCTGCGTCAAGATTAGGAACAGATTATTCTCGCGGATAAATAAACGGACCTCTGTAAAATAATGACGAGAAATATTATTCCATGTGCCTAATATACATATATATATATATATATATATATATATATATATAAAATATGTGTGTGTGTGTGTGTGTGTTAAGCAAATCCCTTTGGCCAAAAGTAGAAATGAAAATATTTGTTTGAAAAACTAAAAGCGCGAACAAAGTATTCTACGTTGTCTATCATTTACAATTTTTACATCAAAAGCTTTAATTTTATTTAAATTTATGTATTTTTTTTATACTTTGCAATATTTATTGAGGTCGGAATAAAGTACTAAACTAACACGTAATACAATAATGTTGTACAATTTGTACTTTTGCTATTTTTTCACAAATTTTATATAGCTTCTTGCTTACATAGGAGCGAAAGTTGATCTTAAAACAGAAAGAAATGCTCTGATAAAAAAATGTGTTCGAAGTAAAAAGTTAATGTTTGTTTTCGTCCCACTTTGTTCGTGATTTCGTGCCTTCTTTCAGAGGCATTTTCTTCGAGCGTTGAAAAGCAGAAGCGTTCGCTCTATTTCGCCCGTATGAGCCGGCGTGTCGGCGAATCAGCGGATCAGCGGCTTTGGGAGAATTGTCGTGGGAACAAGATACTTCCGGAACTTATTCCACGAACCGAACGGTAACGACGACTTCCGCTTGCCTACCAAAGCACAGGAAGGTGCTTGAAGCACGATAGAAGAGGCCCGCGGAAAAGGGAAGGAGAAGCGGGGCAGATAGAGAGAGAAACAAGGAAAGGGGGGAAAGAATGAAGATGAGACGTCGGTTTGTACGAAGAAAAGGCATCGGGTACCGTTTCTCATAGAGAAAGAAGAAGAAGAAGAAGAAGTCTACGAAACATCCGTCTTAATTAACCGTCTTGATCACAACAGTCTTTACACACATTTCTACGAGAATAATGTAACGGCGACGGAGTAATTGAAACTTAATCCGCTCACTCCCGCTTTAGTCCTTCATTACTCTTTTCCGCGTACTCGACACGCGCGTTATATATGAAATTTTTATCTCTGGTTTATTTATCTATAATTTGGACTTTTTTACGTGTATATATATATATATATATGTGTATATATATATATATATGAAATAAAATTTCTGCTCCAATGTTATCTATTATTTATACAATATATTTCAACACTTGCCTTTGTACTGTATTTAAATATTTATTTAAATATTTGAAGAGACGCGTCCTATACTCGCGTCAATTCTTTTGGAGCCCGATAGACAGCACGAAAGTGCGATCAATTAATAACAATAATCGCTCAAATAAAAAACTTTGCACGAGCAAGCGTTACGAAGCATCTGAGCGAATCCGGCCGAACGCGTCCCGTAGCCGATATCCTCGCCTGAAGGAGGAAGACGAAAAAGGAAGAAGAATGGAGGGAGGAAGGGAAGGGAGATGCGGAGGGGGAAAGGCGTAGTAGCGAGCTTCTACGAAGGCCGGAAGCCGATGGCGGGCGAGTGATCGCCGCCGGATGTTCATCTTCCTTTTTCGATCTAGGTCTCGCATACTAACAACAAGTCGAATTTGCGTCAAGGTAAAAATGTGCTTTTCAGTTTTGCACGGTTTAGAGCGATTTAGCGAGTAAAATAATATACAATTCAACAGGCTGATTATAAAATCGCCAAATTTGAAACCAACCGATTGTGTGGATTTGTCACGATACGTAACATATTCATTTTTTCGCAGCTTACGGTGTTTGATTTCGGAAGCTGAAAAATTCTTCTCTCGAATCACAATCGTATACCATAATTTATTTTTACATTTAAAACAGAAATTGATCAATTAACGATCAGTGTATATACCTTGCTGACGAGGAAATCTTTCGCCTCGAAATGGCGACCAAACATCTTGGGTGCTTCTCCTGGTACGGGCTCGATTTTGATGCAGACTTCTTGGCCTTTCCTAGCCGATTCCACGGGCTTATGATTGTACTCTACACTAGTTACCATGCCCAAGTCAACAAACTGAAACGATAGATTAACATATTGATTAATTGAAAGAAATAGCATACGATACATATATATATTTTGCAATGAAAAGGAATGTGACGTTTGCAATGATCGAGTGATAGCAATCATCTACATCTACGTGTTATATATATTTGACGCGACATAACTTGTCCCCCACGTAAGTATCTAATTAATTCATACAAATATATTATACACTTGGATGACAAGTTCCGAAGAATTTTAGAGTCCAAAGAATTATTTCACTAATACAAAGGTTTCGTTGATACAGAAATGTTTATTTTCAGATGTATGATCTCAATCAGAGAAATGTGATCAAAGTCAAAAAGATCTGATTGAGGATCTGCTTGCCGTAGCTTCCTCCCTTTCCTTCCGTCTCCGTAATGGTGATTAAGTAACGTGACACCACATTCATCGCGTGTGCGTTCGCTTGATCTGTCGTCATAGGTCATATAGAGGATATCCGAACGCGATTTAAGCGGATCTATCCCGCGAACGAAGCTTCGGCATCGTAGCGCAACTTTCTGTTTTTCGGTCTTTTTTTCGCCATCGATCGTCGACGTCTGGTCGCGTGGGTATAACTCTGCCTAGGCACACCTTTACCGCGACCGGAAGTCGAGACAGCCCAGTATACCTGAAAGGCACAGTCGGGCCAAGCCGAGCCGAGCCGAGCCGAGCCGAGCTGTGTCGTGCCGTGCCGTGCCGTGCTTGCCTCGCAACCGAGTCCGAGACGTGGGTACGCATTTTCGTCGTGAATACCGGCGAGAATCGGTGAACCAAGTAGGTAGGTAGGGAGGCGGGCAGGCAGATACCCGCATATATGTACGTAGGCCGGCACGCAGTAGGCTGGCTCGCCGTAGACAGATCCACCGGGTGTTCACAAATATCCGTATCGCAAACGACGAAAAATTGAGCTACAAATCACCGGACTTCCGGTCAAGATTTCAATTCTTCGATTTTATTCCGTACTGTTGTAGCAATGTATAAAGTATTCCAAGGAAATATCTAGGAGACAGCGTACTTATAGTCATTCTCTCTCGCTCTCCCTTTCCCCGCCTCTCTCCAGATATAATGACGTTATTATTAGTTAGCAACTCTAGCTTGACTGTAGTTTCAAGCATTTTGATCACGCAAATTAGACATTGCAATAATAAACGCGGGTGCAATCCATCGCGTAAGTTTCGTTTTATAAAAAGAAATGAAGAAAACGACGAGTTTTCTTCAAGATATAGATTTTCAATATCGATTCGTAGAAAATTGCCCTGGGTGCAAGCTTTTCAGCGGGCGCCGTTAGACGGCTGCAGACTGTGGGTATAGGTATATTGAATCTCGAGACACGCTATATAACGGTGTATACAGGCGAAAAAGCCCCGAGCACGTTGCCCCGCTGGCGCGACACACCTGTGGCCGCGGGAGCGCAAAAGTGGGCGACAAACCCGGACGCGGTCTCGTCCAGGATTTGCAAGAGCGCTCCGCCGCGCCGGCCGTGGCTAGCCGTGGTTAAAAAAGACCCAGCTTCTGCAATGTCGTTGGTCTCTCCATGGGTCTCTCTGCGTAATCGCCGGGGTGAGGGGAGGGGGGGTGCACGCGTAATCGCGAACTGCATAATCAGAATCTATAATATCCGCCTGTATACGTATCTATGTATATTATCGCGCGACATCGACCTAAAGACGAAAGACGTGCGAGTTTGAAATTGCGATAAATCTATAGGTATGTTCCCGCTCTCGAGTTGCGAAAAACACAGGAAATACATCCGCGTACAGCAGTATCGAATAATCTTAGGAAAATACGCCACGCACGTTACGAAAGAAAAAAGTATATCCGTTGTGGATCGAGCAGCGCGGAGATGCGAAAGAGAGATGACATCAATTTACCTCACGCAGTGGACCGCGAGAGATAAAACCTTGACTCCATTATCTCTCTACGTACTGTTTTAATATTTATCCCCCAAACTGCGTTAATTACGTATGTATTTCAGATGTTACGGCAGTGGGAGACAGCTATTCTGTGAGCGCGAACATACCTTGGTTCTTAAAGTATTAAGAAACACATTACGAAGATAATGATAAGCAAAAAGCTTATCTCGAAAGTTTATTTTTTTTCCCCGACTATGGCCAAAAATAGAGATACTGAATTCGCGAACAAAGCATGCTGGAAGGTGATAATGATACAGATCACGAGTTGCAACGTAGACGCACACGACAAGCCACGTTATCGTTAGGGTGGACAATGACCGGTTGAATATTCCCGCCTGTGTGTGTCCCGAAACCCACGCCAAGAGAGCAATACCTGGCTGGACGTTCAAGCCACCCGGTATTCCCGCCTAGCCGATAACTGAGGTATTGCTTCTCAACCCTTTCTTGAGTGACAGAACGCTGTGACTCAAACAAACCTCGTGAATTAACGACGATGAAACGTAGATGTAAGATATCTCTGGTTACCTTTAGTTTTCCAATGACTCTATTTTTCGAATTTTAAGCAAATTTTTCCATTTTGTTTTATAATAAAAAGAAATGTCAACATTATATATACCTACACATTAAAAAGAAACGTGAAACAACTATCGCTGAAAAGTTTGGAGCCACGGTTTGGTTTATTCCTAGAATACGCATACATACAGATCCAAGTTTTGCTCTTCAATTCTGTTAAGCTTAATTCAAAATCTGTTATTTATCACGTGGTAGATGGTCTCGCGATGCCTTTCATTCTTTTTGACTCTTTATCAAGTTACATTTTAATGCAATAATTACATGTGCGGTGTCAAGGAACGAAAAATGCATCATACAGGGAATATTGTACGTGTCGGAGTTAATCAGCTCAGACGTGAAAAAAAAAGATACGAACGTCCGTTTCCCCGCGCCGCGCGCCGTGCATGTTTCACGGTATACGCTCTTCTGTGGCCGACGTACTTTTATGGCGTACTCCCGTCGTCAAATTCTCGACACTCTGCTACGACCGAAAGGAATTACCATGTAGGTGCACGTGTGCAGGCGGGCAAACGAACCTTGTTCGTCCTCCGCTTCGACCTTCTCCGCCCTTTCTTTCAACCTATCGCGCCGCACGCCTCTCTCTTCAATCCTCTCTCAGCTCTGTTCTCTCAACCGCTCGAGGTTTTGAAATAAAATTCGGGATTCTCGAAGGACTAACCGCTAATTTCGTACGTCTCCTCCGCCTCCCCCCCCCTCTCTCTTTCTCTCTCTCCGTTTTCTTTCGTCTAGCAAATGTATAACATTACGCGACGTATTTTACGACTAACGTGGTCTCCATCGTTTTTGTCACTAGAAATTCCGGAAGTCTCGAGGTCGAACATCCGCGACTTGAGTTTCATCTACGATAGGCAATCTCGATCGTGAACCAAATAAACGATTTTTTATAAAGAGATATTATCGCGTTGTAAAAAGAGAAATAATATCTCCGATTTGAAAGTGATCACTTTAATCGTAGTATTTAAGAAATTTTTGACCGACGTATTAGATATCGACTCTTTCCTTTAAGAAGAAGAGGATTATCCCGGAAGATGTGTAGCGCTGAAGGGATGAGGCCCTAGTAGGCTTTGCAGCTTAAAAACCTGGTCATCACGTTGGGCATAACTCGACCCCTCGTCTTCTGAAATTACGGAAGCCATTACGAACGTTATCGGCGCGCTTTACCTTTTACGATTAACACGTCAATGGAAGGCGGGAGGAGAGGCGAGAGCGACATAGTCTCGCTCTCTCGAATGCGAGCCGGTCCGGTTACGCGTGGGCCCAGGTGTATATACTGTCTACTTAAGATTTATCTCGCGCGCGTTCCAAGTGTCCGAAAGACATGAGGACCTCTCGCGTTGCGCCACGTGGGCGGAGAAGAGACCCGCAGGATCAGCCGGGTTGATGGCGAGCATGAACCAAACGGAAAAGCATGCCCGTACACATATACAATATACATCTGCATGTACGTCTCATCCGCTCGTCTATCTAACCATTCGCGCGCGGACACCCACTCGTCTGCTGCAGTTTCTCCGATAAGTTCTCGCCATGCCATGCCATGCCATGCCACGCTACGTCATTCGGCGTTTATTATGAGTATTGACACATTTATTGTATTTGTGTGCTCGATCGCTCGATCGCTCGCCAATAACCAATTTTTTTTTAAATTAGCAATACATGCATATAATATATAAACATTATATATAAATAAAGAGTGGCTTGTTGTCTTATAATTGACCGCCCTGTTCGCGGAGGACCCCTTTACTATTCAACCATTCAACGGTCTCGCGCAATCATGAAACGTCGCGATCATCAAAGCGTGCCCAGCTGCACTGTATGACATTCGAAACCTCTATAGTTGGTGCAATTTTCAACAATTTACATTAAATAATATTAATACTTCTACAGGTTATTAGTAATATAACGTATATTTAATGTGATTTTGCGGTAGCTCTCTATTATAAATTTCTTATTAAGATAAAATTCAAAGAGAGAGAGATTTTTAGTGCATATAAATCACAAATCGTATACAGATATAATATTTTTCAATTATTCACGCGGTTCGGGATTTCGATTTGCCGCTACAGTCATAATACGATGTAGCCACGGTGCGGGGTCAAGAACCTTGAGTGTAAAATGCGCGGCCCCGCCCTAAGGATGGTTCGCGAAAAGTAAAACAAAGAGGAAAAGGATTCCTCATAAATTTGAATCGTGGATGCCGTAGAGAAGAGAACAGCTGCTCGTGAACATCCTAGGGATCACATGGAGTGAAAAGGGAAGAAAGGAGTTCTTAGAAAGAAGTATAGCGAGAGCCTCGACCTTGGCACTAAGCGCGCGCGCGCGCGCACACGCTCGCGCGCCATTTGAAGGCCGATCCTTTCTCGGCGCGAAATGGGAATCCGCAGATAGATGCGACTGCACGAGATGCTTAGCCGAAGGCTTGCTTCGTTTCGTGAAAATCATGCTAGACTATGTAAGTTGCACCTGCGTCCTGCGTGCGTCATACTCCGCCGTATGTACCGTAAGTTC